TGTCTTCCTCGATTAAACATAAACTATGAACTGAAACAAAAGAGCTAAGACCTACTAAGATAATCAAGCTTCACGAACTTCCAGTTCCACACGAGCCTCCTGGTGCTGCTCTCTAGCTATGTCAACATGCTGCTCTCCTCCGCCTACGCTCCATACGGATACATACCCACGTGCAAAATAAGCAACATGGGTCAGCATAAAGAATGTTGGTATGAACAGACAAGGTAGGGAACTCTATTCCCAAAAACAAATAAAAACACAGAACTCCGCGGTTCTCTTATACTTAACTGAAACAATCTTAACAATAAATAAAAATACATTACCTGGAACTGCACCTCCTGTAAGGATAGGTCTCGCCCTGCAAGAAATGTTAATTGACCTATCCTCCTACAAAACAGAATTAGTACAATAACAATATAAATATATTTCATAGCATCTCCAATATTAAACATTATAACACCAACTATTTTTTTGAACCAAACACAAACACATACAAGTCTCAAAATCCACAATCTATACCCAATCATTAGTACACCTCCCACAGGATGCACTCCACACATTTGCCATCACCACACATCACCAGTGTGCCTTGTCATGGTTAGGAACTGCTAGGAGGAAACCAAAACCCAAATGGGTGATCATCTGCAAGCTCTGGCTAACCTCCCGTACGCCTAATTACATGACTCCTAATAGCTCCCTTGCGCTTTACTATGTGGCGCCAGACCAACTCCGAAGGCCAAGAAGGTCTGTAAGATTTATTCAGCAGGCTAAGCCGTCTAGGAAATATTCAAGATATATCTAAGTGTCTACCCGCAGGCTATGCCGTCTATGGTGACTTCCTATTTACCTTAACTTAATTTCAGAGGTGCGGCAAATGTACTAACGCTTGGGCAACTACTAACCGTACAATTAACCAAACAAAACAACCAATTGTGAAAAACACTTAACCATATCATAATTTCATTTCTATAATCCCTTGCCAAATCCATTCTATTATTTCGTTCCCTTATTTCAAGTTCCATATACCTTCTATGGTATTATCAAGTCATTCCAAGGCATTCGACCGATTCAATTCTCATTTCCATAATTAAAAACTCATTTATAATAAATTCTCAAAAACACAACAGTTCCATGTATAGGTTGTATGTTAACAGAGGCAGCAAATCTTCCATTTCATTAATTTATAAAATAATAATACTAAATATAACTGAAATTATATTTATATCGAGCCAAAAACCCGATAATTTAAATAGCCCATGTGTACAGTACTGTCATGGCCAAAACAATGAATTCTGCTACCTAAGCCATTCTAATGTCTCATTGTATGTAGCAAACAGTAGGTCTAAGTCTTATACATAGTCCAACATAGATACCCAAAAAATAAATTTGTGAATAGGAAGTATTTTTATAGATCTATATCATTGAAAGAAAAATAAATCAAAGTTAAAACTATAACCACGTCAGACCCAATTCACATAACAAGTTACCACATGTTTGGTGGTATAAGAATCCAAAATGTTAGGTACCCAAAATTAACTAAACCTTTGAATCATATATATGGTCTGAACAAGTTAACATCTGACTATATCTAATAGGTCAACAAAATTTGTAATCATTTATAACAAAACAAACTTAGCTATGTAATCAACCTCAGTAGAATTTTACTTCGTTTCTTATAAAAATATATAGATAAATCCACTCACCTGTCTTCGTCTTCTTCTTATATTTGACTATGAAAATTCAAACTGTCTATTGCTCCCAGCAGCGTCCTCTCTCGCCTCCTTCTGCAACTTCTTCTCTCTGTTTCCTTTAATTTGCACAGTCACCAAACCGTCCCTCTCTCTTGACTTTCAGACGCAACCACTACTTCTTTCTCTTTTCTTTTTTTCTACTTATTATTCTGCAACTGCTTACACTTCTGCAACAAATACCAATCTGATCGCTGCTGCCGCACTCTCTTTTGATAACAAACAAAGGTTTCTCCCCATACTAAACCTATTTTATATATATAAACCTAACTAGGTCGGCCAAACAGATTATCTCATCAAAATCATAATCGCCGAAGTACTCAGATAAAAACTGCTCGTGTATTTTGTTCTCCAAGTATTCCATTATTAACCCTTAGTCCATAACTTAATATTAATTGTAACTAAACCCTTGGTCTAGGGACTTACATCCAAATTACTTAAGAAATCCCAATCTGCATGAAATTAAAAGAAGGTGTTTACAACATTAGTGTCAGACCATACAGAATTACAATTTTGGCAGACTATTGAGTTACAATTTTGGCAGACTATGGTCTACATTAGTGTTTATGGTAAACTATTGAGTTACAATTTTTGGCATCATTAATTCATTAGGTTAACAATTGTCAACCATTCTGTATGTCTACATTAGGACTTGTTGAACTTTACACTGAACTCACATAGTAATGCCATAGTGTCCATTCCAAACTAAAAAGAGGGCATATAGGTCATTGAGTCCATTAGTGTTAGATTTTAAACCAGAATATCGTGTGAGTTTTCAACTCATAGCCTTGGAGTGAGAGGTTGACGACAAAATCGAACATAGTTTAGCCTAGCGATTTTTGCCTCTTTGCCATTGGTCTCCTTTCCCACTTTGTCATTGGACCTTCTTTTCCTTTCTCTTGAAACAACTTAGAAGAAAATTTTGTGTTTGAATGTGATGTCTGAAAGTTGAATCAGCTTTCTCTAGGTGATTGTAACTTGTCATCAGTTTTAGAGTTGTAAAATGTGACTTTTTGAACTTTACACTGAACTACATACTCATTCATAACTCAAAACTAATCTATAATCTGAAGTCTGAAAGCTGAATCAGCTTTTGGGAAGCAGTGCCACTTCCCAAGAGCAAGGTTTAAAAAAATCTATTTAAAAGAGAGAGGAATATTATATACAATTGTTAAAAAATAACTTTTACATACTTGGACTAGCAGTACATAACTACACAGACCACGATACGGAGAGATTTAGAACTTCAGTAGAGAATTTCATTGTTTTAGCTGCTGCAATATATTGATAGGCTGGTAATATATAAGATAAATTAGTTATCTTACAGATTTGGAAACTTAGAAATTGACGTTGCCACAAACATAGAAAATGAGCATGACTATCAATACTTTGCACTTAGGATCCATCGTTCCATTTGTCCACCATTTGGTTCCATTAATGATATATAAGTCCCCTTGCCTGCATAATTACCAATAGAGCATTGAATTTAAGTAGGCCCAGAAATATTGTCTAAATGTACGCCAATAAGCAACTTGTACACACTATCACATAATTTCAAATGTCAAGCAGAAGCCAAAACTAAAACAAACTTTATAATTATGAGTCTTACAATCATCTATTTGTTAAGAAAAATGGAGGTGTTAAAGAAGAGGAAAACTGTATATGCAAGATTTCTGAAAGCTCACAATGGAGAGGTTGCTATAAACTACTTTGGGAACTGTACTGGTTGTACTATTGATTTATTGAGTATGTAAAGCCCCTCCACGCATCCAGAGCTTTGAGGAGCAATATGATCGTTTTAGTGAGTCTTATGATCCCAAATAAATTCTCCCAGAGTTCACTCTAATCCTCACACTTTCAAGTTTTAAAGAATATATATGCATCTATTTTCCTTGATAATGAAAGTTAGACTGATTTGTTTAGAACATAGAATAGCAAGTCATTCATAATATCTAATTGGTGTACCTATGTTTCTTATATAGGATTCATTTCATTGTGTTAGATGAGTTTCCTCCCAGCTTTACAGTGCCTCTATCGCTGAAAAGTTCTCTTTGTTATGGGAAGAATCCTCATCAGAAAGCTGCATTTTATGTTGACAAGAGTCTTTCAGAAGTCCAACTTGTATAGGACTATATCAACCTACTTATTCTATTAGGACATAAACAAGCCCATGCTTATTAAAACAAATGTAGCAAGGATTACCTCTACCTGTCTGCTTCCATAGCCCCTCTGAAACTGCTGAATCATAAGAAGCAACATGCTCAAAAGCCTTAAATTTAAGCAAATAACAATAGGGCATATAGGTAAAACCTTTAAGATCAATGAAGCAGAAAAAGTATTAATGAAAATAGACTATACTATTAGATCACACCATCAAATGCAATGTTAGATATGTTTGCTAACAAAATGGATTAGATCAGCTGATCTCCTAATATTGTGCTTATCAATTTAAAATTTTGAGACGATTGTGGAACACAATTATTTCTATTTTCTAAATAGATATTGGGGTATATACTTTGTTTGATCCAAATTTGATTTGACGTCATAAGAAGGATATTAATTTGATTTGCTTGCCCCGAACTCTTATAAATTTCTCTGAGATAAATTTGATTTGACGTAATAGTTGAAATTTGTTTGATTGCTTCTCTCTCTTTTCAACCGTGCTTAGTGTCTTGATATCCATTAATCCATATACCTTTGTTGGGTTTACCAGTTAACCAATTAGTTGCAAACAATTATATTCTGTGCAATTCTATTTTTGCGTGCATGTTTCGATAATAAATTAAGTCATCTGCCCACTAGATTACTAGAGAACGTGTTTTTTCTGTAATGACAGTGATTCTATGTTTAGTTACTTAGCAGAGAAAACAAAAACCGGTAACTTAAAACTGTCTGTATGGTCATTTTGTATTCACGCAATAATTATCACTTGCCAATCTGGACTGACCACTGAGATAAGTTTTTCCCCGTTGTTCGGCCCTTAATTATATCTCTATGTATTTCAAGCTCTCAGCTCAATTATGCTTGATAAATGTACATTAAGTAGCAGTTTTTTTTTTGTTATTAAAGGGTCTTATTGTGTCATTTTTATGCTTGCCTTTACTGAAGGGGGGATGAACATTGCTGACAGGTCTCTTCTTACTGATCTTGTTTTTTGGGTGTCTCAAAATCCTCAACCAACACATGTTTTCTTAAATCCAAGGGACAAGAACTTCAACAACATCTTAAATTGGTTAAGGGTGAATAATTACCATCTTTGTTCTTGGGCCAATGGCACAGTCAGTGATTAGGTTATACAGAGGTGTGATAATTGCTAGTTGGAAACTATTTCTAATACACCTGTAGGCCTTGGCTTTTTCTGGCCTTCGAGAATTTCTGAAAGGGTCAGTTAGTGAATTAATATCCCAAAGGAATTGTTATTTCGGAGCTTCAGTCAGATTTGAGGAGGATTAATGTGCCTTTGGATACAAAAAAGTTCTCTCTCTCTTGTTTAAATCACTTCCCACTGTTTTAAAGCTTTAGACTACATGCACTGGTCAAATACTTGGGCATGGTATTCAGTCAAAAATTTTGAAATCAGTTGATGTACCAAAGACGCTGGCCCAGTTGATCAACCAAAATTTACTGAACCTATTTATATTCCAAAGGTTGATGTACCACTCAAACATCCAAAAGTTGTCAAAGCAGTTGATATACCCATTTTATCTAGCATCAAATGGGCAATGGAAGGGATACTAACTTGTGGTTAGATCCATGGCATCCTAGTGGCATTCTACATAATCAATTCCCTATATCTTTGTTATATGATTCTAATTGTTCCAGGGATGCTAAGGTATCAATCATTATTCATGAAGGTCAATGGCACATTCCAGAACATATAGCTTTCCATCTGCTGCCAGTTATACAAGGTCTTGATGCAGTGCCTATAGGAGAAGACCAAGATGAACTAGTATGGAATATCTCTTTGAAGGGTGAATTCAGTTTGAAGGATAGATATGAAGCATTGAGAAGAACAAAGGTACTAGTCAGCTGGAACAACATTGTATGGTTCTCACACAAGATTCCTAGGCATTCCTTTATCAGCTAGATGGTGCTTAGTGAGTGCATTAAAACACTTGCCAAACTAAAAGCATGGGGGGTAGTGAACTCAGATACATGTGTGTTATGCTGGAATGGAAGGGAAAAAGAAATTCATCTTTTCT